TAACTCGCTTATCAATGATCATTCGCTTATCAGCCATTTTCCTCAATCCTCCATTAATTGGAATTGATCACAGTCAAGGCACAATAACTCTCACACTCGAACAGACAATTGGATACGGTGCTGCAAGCATGTTTTCACGTGCCAATGCCTTTGTATAACCCCCAGAATAGGAATTTAATTTCTGAATGACAACATTAGCAAAATAATGCGAAAATCCTTCATTCGATGCAGAATTGTATAGTTATTCGAATGGTGAAAACAGCATCTCGATGAGATTAAGCATTGAGAAGTTATTCTCGTTGAAAGGGTGGGCAGGACTTTTGACTCACCCTGTAGTCTTCCTTTACCCTGAAGGAGGTAACCTCGAAAATTTTCTTTCATCCTACACACAACGATGAGAATCGTTTCCAAATGAAAATTGCAACGGTTACTAATGCCCAAACGTAAAAAATAACATTAAGGGTGACGTTGTCTTATCGTAGGATTTCCCCTGAATTCAGCATTTCAAACTCCCTTTATGGAAATCACATTTTCATATTTGCCCCTTTAGATGAAAACGCTGGATAATCAGACCTGCAACTGAGAATCGCTGGCGCCAAAATGACACTCAAATCAAATAAATTATAATTTCAATTAATCCCAGAATCCTAAAATTTTGCAATTGTCAACAGCACTTCCAACCTAAGCTGAGTCTTCACCGATATGATCATCATGATCACCATGTACTTCTCGTAAGCATACTAAGTCTTATTGTACTGATTTATAATTTAAAAAATGTGGGTACTGCAAATTAAGCTACTCCCTTTTCATTCCGGAAGTTCATAACGATTTTTCAGGTATTGCGCAGAAATAAGGACACAGAGCGTCCCAATCTTATTTATCTGCTGAGATTCATTCACTGTGAAAAGAGATTGACTAGAGGGAGAAAAGAAAGAGCTGCAGCTACTGAAGAAACTATCGGTGGTATTTAGTTTTCTTAAATTGAGCCGAACCAATCTATAAAGAGTAGGAATGGAGCTGAAGAAAATGGTAGGAGGAAGGGAAAATAATGAATCTATTAACCACTGATCTAAAGGGAAGTTAGAATGAATATAGAGAAAACTGATGATATTGATACAAGGTAGTCAAACCATGACTACCTCACGGTGTGAAAACTCCGAGTGAAGCTCTCAGCAGGTCCCCATGCAGGGAACGCTCACCATGTTCTCCATTTTACCATATATGACCCGTTATCTCAGTGTCAGAAATAGCAGTCTCTGCTTGAATTTGTCTTCTTTTTTAACCCTTACCTCTTATGCAGACCAATGCCTAACGGACTACCCAAAGATCCAGAATGCCGAGGAAGCTTTCCATAGTTGGACTGGTGCACATCCTGCCCCACGGGGAGGTCAGGTGATATTCAATTGCACACACTCACGAGGATTCACTGATGGCTCTAAGGTACACACGGCCACCTGCGCCTCCATGCGACCTGATGAATGGTGCACCACATTCGCAAATAAACTGACTCCTGTCCACTGTCCACCGCCAAGTGAGAATTTCAAAAACCTAATTTCTGCAAAGCGTTCCGTCATATAGTCGATGCGGTTGAGGTAGCACACCTGACCGGCAATCAACCGTTCCATGGCTTTCTTTCGTCCTTTCTTGCCATCCAACCTTCCCCTGGCTTTAGTGGCGTAGCTAAGGATGTCGGAATTTGGGGGGGGGGGGCTAAGCGGAACGATGGGGGGATTACCATTTCCGTTACTTCTCGTTGGGGCGGAAGGGGGGGGGCGGATGCATTTTGAGCAGAGTTGGGGGGGGCTTGAACTAAACGTATGGGGCTGAAGCCCCCTCCAGTTCCCCTCGTTACGCAACTGCCTGCCTTCAGTCTTCACGACAGTACCACGTGCTTCCAATACAAAATATACCTGTTCTCCATTTTCGGGTAGTAGAAGGAGGGGAGCGGTTATGGCACATTAAGGACCCGGAAATATGCAAATTTACAATGTATTTTACTTTCACGACAGTGTCATGCGTGAGTGAACACCCAATAATAGAGGACATCAATGTGAATATGACCTACATGGACTGGGACGGAAAATATCCTGCACCTCCTGGTGCAACAGTCATATTCAGCTGCCCTGCAGGGTTTACGGACGGATCAATCGAACACAATGCCACCTGCTCCTTCCAGCATGATGATGCCTGGAACAGCTCGTATCAGGAGAGGGATGTGCGATGCCTACGTGAGCTCCTCCTACCATGTTTTTTTTTTCCTTTCTGTGTCTGTTTTTCACAACCCTGTCAATTCCATGAAAAAGGGAAGGAGATCTGGTAATTAGGATGCAATCCCAAGTCCATAGTCCCAGGACAATAAACGTGGAGACACTTTCGAAAGACACATTAGCACACATGCATGAACTCAAATGAGGACAATGTTCCAGGGGATCGTGTGACCTTCAAGTAAAATGGGTGGATATTTTGGCAGAAAAAGATTGCTAGTCAGGTCCTGATACATCAGGGAAGTAATGTTGCACAGAAAAGCCTGCATGCAGCATGCCATACTCGAAACCAAAGTAAGGCCTATGAACTCATATCCTCTCCATTTAAACCTTCTGGTTTTAAATGGGACTCAGATGAGGTTAGGAACTTGCCTAAAATCTTTCCCCATGAAAATGTAAGAAAAAAGCCTGAAGTATCAAATAATAACAATACCTCTAGTCTGATCAAGCAGAGATCTAACATTTAGGCACATCAATTGCATTCCTTTAGAAATAAACTTTATGGACTAGTTAATGTAATGCCTACATTCAAGGCCTATAATACCTACCTCCCATGCCTTACTCTGTGAAAGGCCAGCATGAGCCACCTCCACTTGCTGCATTAATTTGTTTCTCCTTTCCTTGATGACTTTGACCTTGATGACTTTGACCAACTGAGATCTGCTTCATAAAAAGTACGAGCTGCAATATTAATTTCATAAGTGATGACAATGATATGCAGTTCCATTTTTCATTAGGTTAAGATTTACTGCGAACTTCAAGTCACACCCAACAACTTGACTGTCTCATCACACAGGATTAGGATTTTCATGAATCCCAAAACTATAAAAACATTGTAATATCTTAAGCACTTCCAACCTGAGCTGTCACCAATGACGACATTACAGACCCTGTCCTAATCATGCTGAGGCTAAGAATACACAATTTTTGCAAATTAAGGGATCTGCCAAGGAAAAAGTACCTACTTTCCTTCCTTTTCATGTGGGCATTCTTCAAGAATTACTTGGTACTAATCATTGAAATAAGGCTTAGAGCTTCCCAATAATATGGTATTCCATGGGGAAAAAGTGGTAAAAGAGGGAATAGAGGGCTGCAACATATGGAGAAAATGTGGAAGCACCAAGTTTTCTAAAATGGAGCAATTGATGCCTTTATGTCTCATGGGACCGCTACATTTAATTCATCTTAATAAGAATCTGACCAAAGATTGTGCAAGTTAGAGCTGTAAATTATGCCTACAATTATGCAAATAATGACCTTCATCTACTTGAGCTGAGATCCATCTATTCTTCATGACCCACACCTGCCCAGCACCATATGTCCAGCTATTATCATTTAGAATCACTGATGTTGAAATTAAATTTGTAAGTTACCATGAACCAGATTTATGCCACAGGTAAGTTATACACAACAGTTTCCTCACAGTTTACTAAACACATTCTTAACAGTGCTAGCTTGATTGGCTTGTGACCATTATTGATGACTAAGCCATTGCAGATCTGGTCTTTCTCCCCTCCTTAACAGGATGTCACCATACATTACCATACCGGAAACACTACAGGCTATCAGGCATGTCTCTTGTGGTATTAAAACCATATTTGAGAGTAACTTGGAAAAGTATTTTGAGCTCGATGCATAAACGTCACTGACTTCTCTATGTGGGGGTGATTGGCTTCTGTATAATCAAGTCCAGGCTAACCAGACCAGGTTCACCATTTATCATAATACCAATGTAGTCAACAACAGGCCTTTCTAGATCATGCTATCATGTCACATATTTGCAAGAGATGGGCCTTATTCATAGCTTGTAAGCGACTTCGACGGATGTTGTGACTATACACTGATAAACAACAAAGTTGCAGGTTAGAGCACACTTAGAAAATCAGGCACTGAGAATGTGGCGCCATTATGTACTTCCTGCCACTGTTGCCATAGGCCCAAGTATAGTGGGAAGCACGGACAACTTTCGAAAGTGTTTACAATTTCTCTCTATTCCCAATATATAATGAACGCTTTCAAGTTGAGAGATTCCAGTTAAAATTAGGGAACGAATGAACCTTGTAGAAAGGCCTTATTTAACGCATAATGGCTCTCACGATCTGAGCGAGGCGTCCCCATTTGCCGCCATGTGTTCCCAGGCGTCCCTGCCTTCCAACTCCAAGTGTTTCTAAACTTGTCCATCAGATGAGAACACATTCAAGGAGCACCTCCTTGCACACATTAACGCATGGGAGAGCACATATCGGGAATTGGAAACACTTGAACATGGTAACAAAAAAAAACCGCATCCAGGTGTTCTTTTACGTGCTCTCAGGAGTTCCTGGCGGGGACATTTTTTTTACAATGTAGAGAATCAGTTTTCTCCAGAGAAGTTTGATCAGTCGTTGCTTCATAGGAGACATATCTTTTTTTTAATTTCCACAGTCGACACATATTCGTAATATGGCTTACTCATGAGGAATAGGTGACATCCTTGTGATGCATGTGGGCAGATGAAAGGGATGATGCTTGTCTAAGGTAAAGCTTTTTGAAGTTCAGTTGGCCTCACGTGCATTCAGCATTATAATCAAAATTGTAGCTGAGAATAATTTTACGGCGATCACACAATCGAATCATATTTTGTTGTTAATCCTTTGCAAGAGACTATGCGATGATGACAGTCCAACATCCATGCATTACTAAACGCCAATCTAATGGATGATAACCAAAGCTTTTAATCATCGTTTTCAGTATTTGATGGCCATTCTCATATTAGCGGCTGTTTATCCTGAGTGCCGACTATCGGAGAAAGGGATGGAGTACATCGGGTCTACGAACATGACAGAGACTGGAAAATCATGCCTCATGTGGGATTCCAAAAATGTGACTTCTTCCTACGAAGACATGGATGCAGGATTCAATAGAGTCTTGTTCTACGAGGAGCACTTCATAAACCAGGACCCATCCTTGCACAAAAACTTCTGCCGAAACCCGACAGGGTTGGATAGACCGTGGTGCTTTGTCGACGATAATGGCTTGAAGATGGAGTTCTGCCGGATTCGTCACTGCGGTGATTTCAGTGAGAAATTATTATCTGATCTATTTTATTCTTCTGGACTCTGGGAATGGGGGGGGAGGACGTTGGAAGTACATTCTCTGGGGTACCCAATGTGAAGGGATATATTTTCAGAGATATATATTTCCTCCAGTCAAACGGATATACATAAAGTTGAAACTTGACATGGACGTGCCTACTCAGACACTGAGTTCAGGAAAAATATCAAGTTTCTGCCGCATGCCCTGGGGACATTTTTGAGCGGTGACGTTTTCATATACTTTTTTGTCTTAGCGAATTGGGCAGCAATAGAAAGGCGAAACTTGGTACATAAGTCCCCCATTGGAATACAGAAAAATTCAGGCTTTGGAGGTAAATGCCCTGGGGTCCTACATTTCAAGAGTGATTTTTCAGATAATTATTTTGCTTCAGTCAAATGGATGAACATAGAAACGTGAAAATCTGCATGGATGTGACTACTGATGCAAGAATTTCAGGAAAATTTCATATTTCAATACATCCCCAGGGAGTATATTTTTTGGGGATGACATTTTCAGATTTTTTCTTGTCCTGCCGAATTGGGCAGAGATAGAAAGGTGAAATCTGGCACATGCATAACTGAGGTGGTGTTGAGTGCAGAAAATGTTCAACATTTTTGGAGCATACCCTCAGGGCACAGCGCATGGCAGGGTCGGCATTTCAAATATACTTTTGCACCTGCGAAAAGGACAAACAGGTAAGGCTGAAGCTGGGTACGCTCGTAGTTCTCTAAGATTTCGGTGAAAATATTATTTCAAGGTAAAACCCCTGAGGGCACTTTTTTGCAAAAGGGACATTTACCCTAATAATTTGGATTCAATGAAATAGAGAACTGAAGAAAGTTGAAACTTGGGACAAAAGTACACGATCGAATATTGAGTTCAGATCCTATTCTTCAAATATGTACCCTCAGGGCAAATTATGAAGAGGTTTGACATTAGGCACACAAGTAATAAGAGGAGTAATAGCTTCGAAGAAAATATCGGTCCGTCCTCTCGTACATTTTGATGTAGGGAGGAGGCATTTGTTTCACAACTGAAAAATGCTGCTGCTGTAACTCACATTTTAGCACCAGTGAGCAACACTTTCAGAGTCTCAGGGTAATGTGGTGGCGAGGCATTTTCTGGAATTAGTTGCTAGCATTGTGCCACACATGTACTAAATTCCCTTTGTGCCTTCGAACAAGTTCTTGGAAATGGTCCGTAATGTTAAAGAATCATTGGTGTCTGTACTATATGCTAACGCAGATAGCACATGAGCTAATCGGTGATGCAAGAGAATTGAATGTGCTAGGTAGACGAAATCAGCAAAGTAGTCTTGAGTCTCATGAAAACGTGCTAAACTGTTCACAATGAACGATTGTGGCAATCAGCTGGAATATCATGATGATGGTGTTTAGGAACAGAATCTCCCTGTGTACTGTAAGCTATAAGTGGATACATGTAATGAAGCGGTTCAGTTCCAAATGGGTAATGATGTGAACAGAGGATTGTCAAGGAGACGGTATGCTCACAATAGACGGTTCAAATATCCACCTATTAGACGGCCAGCGTTACGGCCGCAGGCCGCTAGTCTTATACTTTAATTCGAAGAGTTGAGCCCGAGAGTTGTGGTGGCGGTGGTGGTCGTCACCCCAGCGAGCGAGGCCTACAAGACTATGTCATTTCAGTCCATATGCTAGGCCATCCACCCCTCAAAGCGCCAGGTCCATGAGGCTATGCTATTCTAGGCCATAGGCTTGGCCATCCAACGCTTTTAGCGCCAGGTCCATTGAGCTATATCAATCTGAGCCATAGGCTTCGTACTTAACTGTGTCAATCAAAGTTTTTTTCTTTATTTTTTTCCGTCACGTCAGGCATGGCCGTCGGGGACATCACTTCCATGCAATAGTTTTCTGCTTGCCTTTCATGTCATGGCCGATTTGAGTTCTCATGAATGATGAAGTCAAAATAATAGCCTAAAAAGTCTCTTCATATTCATTTTTGCGAGGTGAGGTTGAACGCGAAGAAGAAATGTTGGAGGAGTTCCCACAGGACGGCGATGAGGCAGTTGTTGCTGGTAAAAAAGGGTTGGTGCTGGCGCGGAAAAAACATTTACCACTTTAGTTGCGGTACGAAGTGCCTAAAGCGGTGCTAGCAGTAATGGCTAGAATCGGTTATAAACAGCGAGCACATGTACGTAGGGACCTTAGCGCCACTCAGACCGCTGAACAGCAAGAGGCAGCGAATGCTGAGCTTCGGAATAGGAGAGCGGTGCACCCTGCTAAGCAACTTGATGCAAGGTTGGCATTTTCAGGAATTAGTCTTTAGCATTGTGCCGCACATGCACTAACTTCCCTGTGTGCCGTCGAACAAATTTTTGGAAACGGTCCGTACTGTTTCGGAGTCATTTGTGTCTGTACCATACGCTAACGCTAACTGCCCATAAGCTAACAGGTGATGCAAGAATATTGAGTGTGCTAGGAATACGAAATCAGCAAAGTCGTCTCATGAAAACGTGCTAAACAATTGTGGCAATTGTGGCAATCAGCTGGAATATCATGGTGATGGTGTTTACGAACAGAATCTCCTTGTCTACTAGAAGCTATATGTGTATAAATGTAATGAAGCGGTTCAGTTCCGAATGGGTAATGTGATTAACAGAGGATTGTCAAGGAGACGTTATGCTCACAATAGATTATTCAAATTTATACCTATTAGACGGCCAGCGTAGCGGTCGCAGGCCGCTAGTAACTCTTCATTGAAAATAAAAATTAGCGTTAGCATTTTAATCCAGGGTATCCACGACTCGACTGATGCAATATCTTTAATTTTCCTCTCTTTCTTCCCCGAGCTCATGTGGGAAACATGCAAATAACGAGAGTATAATAGATTGGAAAATTTTGCTGCAACAAATCCAAAATTAATCATTGTATTTTTATGTTATTTTGTGGAACTACATTAAATGGTTCATGAACCACTTTAGTTACAATTATAATAATTATACGTAGATGGTATGCGTATGCCGAAATTGATGGTCCAGCCTGTGTTTGCACGTGCAGGCGTGCCAGAATGCAAGTTGAGCCAGAAGGGAGGGGAGTACGTAGGCGTGAAGGACAAGACCATCTCTGGCATCAATTGCATTCCATGGCTTGATCAAGACAGCAGTGATGGGGACCGGATCCGCGGGCTCCGTAAAGGATCATTCTCAGATGAACTCACTAGCAGTCACAATTTCTGCCGGAACCCGAATGGGAACCCAGGTGGTCCTTGGTGCAATATCAAAGTTCCCGGAAAGCCCAAACTGAATTGGGAGTATTGCGATGTGTCATTCTGCAATTTCCACGCTTCACGAAGAGCCCTCGAGGATGGAGACCAATACAAGTCAAGTGAGTTATCGAAATCCAGGCAAATTCGTATATAATCTTTTTACCAGCGAGTTTGTTTCCCTTGCGGGGAAAGAAACACGCAATGGACGTGCCTTCAGCCCTGGATGTTCTTAGGAAATTTCTAATGTATTTTAAGGATGTGTTTTGATTCTCACACCTACAACGTGGCACATCTCCTTGAGACATCAGCATTTTCCATTATGGCCTCTAATTACTTGTGCTTGTGTGAAATCAATTTTTCCACTTTCGTTATTTTCCCGCTCCCGTGGAGCTAAAAAATTTCAAAACACTATTCTCTTGGAAACTGTGCCCTAAGGGGATGGACTTATCAGTAAAGTATGAAGTATCAGTATGAAGTAAAAATCAGAATGTGGCGAACCACGCAAGTACTGACTCATGGCTTTCTCTATTTCCAAATGTCTCAGTCCAAAAAAATTAGTTGAAATTCTTGTCAACCAAAAGATATGCCCTGTGGGCATATAACTCAAAAAAGGAATTTTACCTGAAATTAAACACCCAAGAACAACTTCATTGCCAATATTAGTCATTTGCTTTTGCCCGCCACACTGCAGCGAAAAAGTATTTGGGGAAATGTTCTCAATGAAATTTTTCGCCATGAGGATATGATCTTGGAAGTCGAGTTATCCTGAACTTATCATCACAACAGCTAATTCTGTACCAAGTCTCACCTTTTACCTTTGGCCGATTCCCTGGAGGAAAATCAATTTCTTGCAAAACGTATTTGCAACAAATATATGCTTGCTGCATATTCCAGCTGATGCTGATTCACTCATATCGATTGCTCAATATTTTATCATGAAAGCGTCTCTCCTTCTCTTAAAGGTAGTCACGGATTAGCAGCCATCGTCGCTTAACGAATTCCAAGGTTTCACTGCCCTACAAGTAAATACGTTCTGGCGCAACACTAGCCGCACCTGTCATTTACGAAATTAAAGTGCATTTCCTCCTGTTTTGCCACTGCCATCAAACTGGGAAATTTCCCTTGTTTAATGTTTTTTATACTTATGATGAACTTACGATGAAAACCTGGATGAGGTTCCCCCTCGCAAACATTCTCTCGTGCGAGTACAGCTGCAACATGTATAAACGCTTATCGTGTGGAAGTCTCCTAACCTCCTTGATTACTATTTTAGACCACTGCTGGACACTCCAAGCGTCGTTAACTCGCTCTTATTTTCAGGCTTCCGAAATTTAATGCAATATTTTACACGGCGCATCACCAGTTCCACATAACATGGAAGAATAACACGCTAGCTCCTATTGGGCATGGTATGTCGGATTAAACGTTGATTCCTTGTACATTTAGCTACCGTCGATTACGCGTAGGAGAAAAACTTTAATTCTTCAACGAATATAATCCATAAATCCTCTCCCTTTGCCTCATTGAGTTTGGCAACACCGAACTCTTTGAGAGACCTATCGTTACTATGGCCGATGTGAAGTACCTTACATCAACTCTTATTAGACCTTATGAGTCCTTTCTTACTCGACTCGTCTAAAAGTTGGAAAAAATACTCGGCTCCACCCTGTTCGCCACACCCGATAGTAAAACGATTTTAGTGCCGTCATCGGTTTTGCTGATCTAATCCACTAAGCCTAGATCTGAATCGCTAATGTATACCGCAAAAAAATCGGTCCTAAGGCAGAGCCCTGAGGGACGCCACTCGCAACTCCAACCTCCCCAAGCAGCATGTTTATGTAAACAAGATATCAATTTTTTGCTAACAATGTAAATTTCTTACGATTGCCATGAAAATGATATCACACTTACGTAAAATGTACGTTCTCATATTTACGTCACCAAAATGTACGTGTATTTTACGTAAACTGAACGTCACTCCATCTGACGTGAAGTACATGATATCAAGTTTATGCAAAGTTAACATCACACTTTCCACATGAAAATTTAGCTGACCATCCCGCAATTACAATATCAAGATTCCTCACTTGATCACCCTTCTTCCTTGCACCCTAAAAATGATATTAAGTACTGGCTTTCCCGATATAGTATCAGGTTTTCTTACCATCCTTCCACTTTCTATTACGCAACCCATGAATATATATGGAAAGCAGGAAGTTATAACATTTTTAATAATATATGACTAAGGGAATCATTAAATGCTGAAGCTGAGCTTGTTATTACAGTAGTGCATGGGATTAGGGAAGAGTAGAAACGCAGCTTCGCAAGTATCATACCTTCTCTGTCCATAATGGGAGAGAACTCCTCTAAACATTTATTCCTCCTCCCGAGTACCAGGACCTCAGGAGGAGGAACTAGGGAGTAATCTTGGTACTCTTGAGTGTTGGGGAGGATGAGTAATTGTGTACTCGTCCAAGTAACCTTGAGTTCCAAAGTATGGAAAGGAATGGGAGAAATACAGTATATCAATTTCCTTCAAAAGTACGAATTAGCTCGTTAAATACGCATGAATGTTAGGGAAATTAACATCAATTTTACGTACAGTGAATGTAAACATGATGTTGGAGATGTAAACGGAATGTCAATTTTACGTAAAATTTACGTCAATTTTATATCACCGTTTATGTATTACAGAGGTGACATTTCTGCAAACATGTTGACATTATCTTGATGATGGTTTGCGTAAAATACATATAAAATGGACAAAAAAGTCACATTCAGTTTACGTAAAATTACTTATAAAAATACTGCTTGGGAACCATTGAAATTGGTTTTCACATTCCTACATGATACTTTTGTCCCACCCTTAACAAAAGTTGCAGGTGGGACAAACACTGCAAATGTTTAAAATTGGATTAATTTGTAAATATTGCATTATCATATACATGTTGCACATCAATAGAAAGCTCTTTTTAAGAACTTGCATTTCCTTCCTTACTGAAGGTTGTCTAATACTTAGATAAGGAATTGCACATTTTGTAATATGCATAATTTTGGTAATTTGTCAAAAAATCTGTCTTATGATATCTCTGAAAAGGTTTAATGCTACAATTTTCAATTTTTACTATCATCCACGATATCAAACAGCATAAATTTTCGAAATGGAATTAATGACCGTGCTTAATTGTGTTTTTAAAGAGTTAACGTAAGTAAAGAGTTAACAAAAAACGTTACAGGTGGGACATTGTTATGGGTGGGACTATTTTAATTTTGAAATATCTCCTCTCATATGTACGACCTTGTACAAATTTATTACGCTGTCTCCTATCATGGCGCAGCAATGCGCATCAGCATGGGCAGTTATAGTCCCGTACCTAACAGAGTAAGCATGCAATACATGTGTTACGGCTAGACATGCAAATGCTAGACATTTGCGGGTAAAAGGAAGAAGCATTTTATTTTCAAATTATTTCAAAACTATGATGATTATAATTCTATGCAATTCCTGGAGGTATGATGACGTCTTGAGTTGAAAAATATCAGCTCACCATTTTCAATTCGCCTATTTATGACACTACCGTTACAAGTGGGACATAAAAAAGTGCAAATTCTGAGGACACCTATAATCCTTGGCAAAGCTAGAGAGACACTGCCTCTAATAGCAGTTGATGTGCATTCTGAAAATGAATAATATGTTTGTAATGTTCAGGCATTTATTTGAAGAAAAAAATCAAAGAACAAGAATTTATTTGGCATAGGAATGTTCTGAGTGCATGAGTACTAAGGCAAAGATGCGTTACAGGTGGGACAAATTCAATTTTCTCTGTTTGGTGTGTCCCAGAAAAATGCTTCAATGCCAAAATATATTGAAAGAATTGCTCTGACGTGACTTATTGATTTTTCAAATTTTGTCAAGATATGTTCATTACTGCCAGAGTTATGGAATTTTAAAGTCTGAAGACACGCAATAGCTCCATTTTGACCTGATTCACCCAACCACATCTTGAATGTATTCCGCCGTGGTAGAACGATGGGGGCTGAGACTCGAAGAACTGTCGCAAGTAGCATTCGAAGTATTTACCATACGGAAAGTCCACCATACGGAAAGCATCACCTTGCGGGGGTGCAGGTCAACTTTCGGCTCCGGCAGCGGCTCATAGTCGGCGTCTACCCACTGAGGCTTGCTGGTATGGTTAGCGTACATCACCCACTTCTCTTCCCCCGTGACGACGTCGTCGAGTCAGTCGAAGCGCCGCCGGCGAGAGAGGAAAAGTGCACAGGTGTCGGAACGCTGGTCGAGGTCCTTCTGTGTGAAATCATGGGGTATCCAACTCCCTAGCTTCGAGACCTTCCCGATCGTGGACAGGCGGTGTTCGATGGTGGAGTGGGAGTACCCGAGGACGGCGGCTATGTCGCGAGAGGTCATGCGGGGATCGGCTTCCACGAGTTGTCGTAGCGCCTCATCAACTCCAAGGGGCGTACCGATCTCGGCTTGTCTTAGAAATTATAGTTTCCGGACTTGAAACAAGCGAACCGATTGAAGCATGTCTTCTCGCTTCCCCAAACGCCTGGCACAGACGGTGTTGGGCGTTGGCAGCCTTCTCTCCCAGACGGAACTCATAGAGGAGGCAGGTGCGGAGGTGGTCGCGGTCAAGGTCGAACTTCTGGCTCATACTTCGGGGTAAGGGATCGAAAATGCACTGAACCTGCACGCAAGGAGGGAGACTATAGGCGAAGCGGGAAAATTCTAGAAAATTCGTGAGACTTCATAATGAGAAAAGGCGAAAATTGCAAGAACTTACCGGCTAACCCAATACTTGAATTTATATTTTATGACTAACTGGCGATGCGATCTCCAAGTTGCAATGACATTCCATCAAAAGTAGTATAGTGGGGTTGTACGCGACTATTCATTGATTATCAATTACTCTGCCCATGCGTGTAGTGAAAGGTTTGCCTTCGGGACGTTGGTATTGCACGTAACCTCGCCAATACAGTATACCTTGTAAGTCTCGTCGCAAAACAGTTTGGGGAACCCTTTGGTGCACGTTTTTGTAACCTGATTCTTATAAGGGTACAGTTGGACGATCTAGTCCACAGGGGCCATGTGCCATTTAGT